TGTGTGTGTGTGTGTGTGTGTATGGGGATAGGGTTTTGGGTGGGGGGTGGGGGATTGGTCTTGATGAATATTGGTCTTTTCGGCAGCAATCGAAAATATTTTTCAAACCAAAAAGGAGTAGAGTTGGATTGTCTTCTTTTTTATTATGAGGTTAACCTCTTCACTGCTGAGTAGATGTATGTTCTGGCTTGTATTCTCCACTTATATTGTTTCATCTGGTTGACAAAAAGAAGTCTTCGTTGGTATAGTTACAGCTTGGGATTTTGCTTATTCTGAAACAATTCTCTGTGTTTAAATATTCCTTGAATTAACATTTTATCTTGTCAGAACAGATGTTGGTAGACATTTTTCAGCAATGAAAGGGTTAAAATACAAAAGTATTGTTTTATATCTACTGTTTTACATTTCTCTCTGTGACATCCCGATATCCACACATAGTAACATGTAATCGAGAAATATGTGATTTGAGGGAGTGGTGAGGTTGGAGCGCGTGAAACGAAGGTGAGAGTGAAGACAATTTAATTCTTAAAAGACAAGCTGAAGGAGGAAATGATAGTTAGAACTAGGAATAGTAGCTGTAGAAGTTCTACGTCAACATTGACGAAATCTCGACAATTTAGGAGGCGGGCTTCTTTGACATTGCCTGCCAGGGACAACAGGATCAGCCCGTGTTACGAAGTTTTTTGTTTTTGTAAAGTGTTTTACGGCGCTCGCAACTGCATAAGGTCATATGAGCGCGCTGGACACACCTAATATTTTCAGTTGGTAGGAAATTTTGAATTTTGCCCGGGTGGCGGCCAAAGCCTACTCTAATCGATTTTAGACTACCAAGGGATCTTTAACTTGCGCAACTTGCACACGGGCCCTCCGAGATTTTTCGCCCTTGTCCGAGAAGGCTAGGTGTAGATCTTTCCTACCATAAGATCAGGGGCGTGGCAGAAAGACAGCAGTAAGGAGGAGCTAAGGAGTAGCAGTAGAAAGGCTGCAGAAAGAGTCAGGAGCCCAGAGGAGGGGGCAAAGAAGGTGATGGGGTGGGGGCAGAAAGTGGAAATGAAAGCAGACAACAGAACATTGCTAGAATGCAGGAAAGGAGGTGAAAGGAGACAATTTTAGAGAAGAAAATATTTTGGTTGCTACCCGGATTCGAACCCGGGACCTTTGAATGAGAGGCCAACACCTTAACCTCTAGGCCACGAGAGCCCCCGTGCTACGAAGGGGACAATATTCCAGCAGACAGATGGTGATCATGTCATTACTGCCTGTCTCACTGTGCATCAGTTATTGGTCACGAACAAAGACACTCCACATTTCCATATCCTGACTAACTTCTTCATAATATGTGAGGCAGCATGGTGGAATCAGGCTCTTGTCAAAATATTCAAAGTGAAGAAACTTGCATTTTTCCGCAGGTTTCTGAATTTTTATAAAATTTATGTTTTTTGGCTCAACACTTTTCATGCCCATTAAATAACTCATTTCTTTGTAATTTTTTCTGAAAAACGTTGATTAAAGGCGCAAAAAATGTAAATTTTCAGTTACCACGGACTCTTTAAACTAAAGAAACAACTCATCTTTGGCATCCATTTTCACACTAATTTTACCTCTGAAAACAAGTGACCCCCAACTCCTTCTTTCGCAAATATCTCGACTTGTATTGAAAATAAATGGATATTTTTTCCTCCAAATAAAGACAAGTAAACAAGCTTTAACATGATACCAATTACTCTACATGCCCAAAAATTGACGAGAGCCTGATTCCACCACGCTGCCTCACATTTTATTATCCTATGTCTTCCCACTTTTCTATCAGACAGAGCTGAGATGCCGGATTAAAAATCCTCCCCACACAGAAATAGAACTCTTGTATTCTGTGTGCCACGACAAAGTGCCTAACTACTACACCACAGACACCGGTGTGGGCATGAGGAAGAGGAAGAGGAAGGGGGAGGGGGGGGGGAGGTGAGGAGAAGGAGAAACCCCAGTGACAAAGGACTTTGCCGAGGAAGAGGAAATACAGCGACTCCAACGTGTGGAGTGGGCAACAGAAGTGAAGCTAGATGAGGAGGAAAAGGGCAGGAGCAGGAGGAGGAGGAGAAAGAGGAAGGAGAAAGGAGGAGCAAAAGAAAGAGGAGAAGAAGGAGATGGAGGAGGAGGAGGAGGTGGAGGAGGAGGAAGAGGGCCAAGAGGAGGAGGAGGAGGAGGAAAACACTTTCAAGAACTTTCATGTCATCCATTTTGTTTCAGTGATGTCACCAAAAGCGTTGTGACATGTCTCCGCAAAGATGGCAGTGTGGTCTTCTCGTACAGTCCCACGGGGTCCCACGAGATCAAGAAGGCTCAAGGTGTCTGCTGTGATAGGCTGGGGAACCTGTTTGTGGCAGACTACGCCAACTGCAGGGTACACCTCATCACTTCTGACGGGACCTTCCAAAGGTATGCAGTCTCTCTTTCTCTCTTTCTCTCTGTTTCTCTGTCTCTCTTTCTGTTTAACCCTCTTTGTCGCTCTCTTTTTCTCCATTTTTATCTTTATCTCTTTATCTCCCCCCCCCTCTCTATCTCTCTCTCTCTCTCTCTCTCTCTCTCTCTCTCTCTCTCTCTATCTCTCGCACTCTCCCCCCTTACTCCCCGTGCACTCTCTTCTTTCTCTCATTCTGGCCATTTTTTTTGTTTGTCTCTTTATATCACTCACTCACGCACTCTCTCTCTCTCTCTCTCTCTCTCTCTCTCTCTCTCTCTCTCTCTCTCTCTCTCTCTCTTCAGTATATATTATATTTTTCATACACTTTTTTATATCTCACCTCTGTTAAATCCTCTTTGTTTGCATCCCTACTTTTTTCTTTCTCTCCCACATTATCGCATCTTCATTCCCCTTTCTCACCTTGTTTTTCCCTGTTTTTCCCGTTTTCCCCCAGTTTTTTCCCCTGTTTTTCCCCCCAGTTTTTTCCCCTGTTTTTCCCCCTGTTTTTTATCCTTTCTTTTCTTTTTACAAAAAAAATGTAACCCTTTTCATTTTAGTCTCCAACCAGACTAACTTCCGCATTACCATGGTCTCCCAAAACCTATGACGTCATTTTCGTCTACTTCTGTGTGTGTGTTATCTCCACCCCATTGAAACGCGTACTTCGTACAACTTCCGGTTCTGTGATAAGAGAGAAAGAGTCCGTATCCATCAACTTCTCTGAGCGTGGGTGGTTGGCGGGTGCTCTGGTATGGTTTGCTTCTTCTTTCCTATCAAACATCTATGGTCCTTATCTCTCTCATTCGTCTTTTTTATGTTTGTTACTCTCTTGTAACACCGCTAATCTTTTTGCGCTCATATGACCTTAAGCAGTTGCGAGCGCCGTAAAACCTCTCCTACTACTAAAAGATTACTGGTGTTACTAGAGGCGTAGCGTAAAAAAAAGAAGAAACAAGGGCGAGATATATCATCAGTGTCTGACAAGGGGAGGGGGGGGGGGGGGG